TGGTCCTTGGGCAAATACTGCCCTCTGGAGTTCATATGGTCAGTTATACTATGCAATGTGTGGCTCCCTATTGTTGTTTTAAATATAAATGTCATCATTTCACTGATAAATCAGGATATCCCAACAACAACAAATTTCTGAACTTCAGTTACAGAGCCTCCAGAGGGCAACATTGAGCCAGCCCCGTCCTTCCACCCCACCCCTCCAACCCCCACCCAAGCAGGAACAGTAGAGTATCAGTGAGAGGGATCATGGGAGCTCTTGGGGTACAGTGCTGATGTCCCAACTTTGATCTCCTTGAAACACCAAGGGGCTATGAGATTAGAGACGAATATGCATGAGGATGGGAAGGTCTTCTAACCAAGATGTCACCATAAGAAATCTGCAGAGGCCAGTTGGAGCCTGAGCTTCACAGTTCCTCCTTCACAGTACAAACGGTTCCTTGGAAGATTTCAACTTTGTCATCTCTCCTTTGTGGTAGATACACTCATTTGTGTAAAAGAAAAATAATTGATCTTCTCTTTGTTTATAATGAATAAAGAGTACTCCAGAGAAATTTTAACTTTGAAACTTAAACATACATTTTTCTAAATTGGATAGTGAATAAATGTAAAAGTCCCTTTATATATGTGCCAGCTGAGCAATAGCATACCAATGTTTCCCTTAATAAGTATTAACTATTTAAAATCATATAGAAAAAATTAATCTTACATCATAGGATATTCACAAAAAGAAAAATATGTTATTATGCCACTCATCAGGAGTACATCCATGTTTAAAATAAAAAACAGGACTAATGCCAGGGGCCACACAAGGAAATCACACAGCCACCACTCAGTTATCTTGTGATTATGCATGAAGCTGCAAAAGCATGGCAAATGCACCGATTTATAGGCTCACATCACCTTTTTCTTCTCCTTTTCAAGTTCCTCAGCCTCTCTCTGCCAAACTGTTTTCATGTCAAAGTCAAAGGGCCCTCTCCTGGATTCATAGTTCCCATTGGACTGATCAGGGTTAAATTCTTCATATACCATATAATCTGGCATAGAGATAACAGGGACCCTGTGGAAAAAATCCAACAATTACAGCCAAGAAGGAGCAGCACCCACTCCCTGGGTGTCTGGATACAACGGCCCTTCC